AGGCCGCATCACACACAGACACCCACACACTCCCTCAACTTACACGAACACACACATACGCAGACTCATTTCCACACGGACATAGACACACGCACAGAAACCCACACACTACCTCAACTCACTCGACTTCACACTTCTCACTGCACACTTACCGGATAACTCGCACTCTGACTTCCTACGTGATGAAAAATGCTTTCGGGCCACTCGTCGTCTAGTTGAACTGGTGACTTGTGGCCGGTTCCGGCCTGGTATCGCATTCAGCTTGATTCTTTATAATATATATATATAGCTCACAAAAAAAAAGAAAAACAATCCTGAAGAGCTTCACGCTCTGGACCCAATTGCTTAGGGAAGGTCTTCTGTCATATTATCAGCTGAATTGCCGCAAAGAACACATGTCTGTTTGCACCAAAAATGCTGCCCACTGACAATGTGCCAATGAGGATCACAAAGGAGCTGGCAAAAAAAGAACAGAGTCGGCACAGCAAAAAAGGGCAAAGGAAAGGAATTCATATCTTGGAAGACAACGAGTTGGTTGAGGAAAAATGGTGCGTTGTGTGAGTGTGCAAGATAAAAGCTCATAAACTCTGCGATCCCGCTGAAGCAACCATCGTGTGAATGATGTTGTACGCTGTAAACGATCGGCTTACATATTTACCACCATCAATATCACAACAATAATTCCAAAGTGGTGGTGGTGGTGGTGGTAAAGGCCTTAGACCAAGAAACCACCTTTATACAATCCGTAACCCGCTCAAACCTACAAAGATCCCGCAATCCGGTGGGGGATGAGCATTGGTTGTGAAGTGCTCAGCTTTTCATAAATATATTTGTGTCTTTGGTCCATTTCCCTTTTCGACGTTCTAAGACGTTGCCACTCACTGGAATGTCACCAGACAAGGCAATCCGGGTGACGGTCCTTGTCCGGAAACTCCTCGTCTCGCCTCGGAAACCATCGGACGGAATCTTTTTGCTGTTTCTTTTCGTAGCGTCCTTGCTCCTAGTAGTAAGGCCAGGAGCCCCTAGTAGCATCCTTGCTCCTAGTAGCGATGCCAGGAGCCCCTAATAGCTTCTTGTTCCTAGTAAGGCCAGGAGCCCCTAGTAGCGTCCTTGCTCCTAGAAGGAAGGCAGGAGCCCCAGTAGCGTCCTTGCTTCTAGTAGTAAGGCCAGGAGCCCCTAGTAGCGTCCTTGCTCCTAGAAGGAAGGCCAGGAGTCGAGCCCCTAGTAGCGTCGTTGCTCCTAGTAGTAAGGCCAGGAGCCCCTAGTAGCGTCCTTGCTCCTAGTAGCGATGCCAGGAGCCCCTAATAGCTTCTTGTTCCTAGTAGTAAGGCCAGGAGCCCCTAGTAGCGTCCTTGCTCCTAGAAGGAAGGCCAGGAGCCCCAGTAGCATCCTTGCTTCTAGTAGTAAGGCCAGGAGCCCCTAGTACCGTCCTTGCTCCTAGAAGGAAGGCCAGGAGTCGAGCCCCTAGTAGCGTCCTTGCTCCTAGTAGTAAGGCCAGGAGCCCCTAGTAGCGTCCTTGGTCCTAGTAGCGATGCCAAGAGCCCCTAATAGCTTCTTGTTCCTATAGTTCTTTTTCCTTTTTGAGGGGGTGGGCCGGTAGCAAGTAAGCTAAGTAAGAAGGAGGTAAGAAGCAACTAAGCTAGGACGCTTGACTGATCTTGACTGGCTTGGCTTGGCTCTGCACAGACTGAGACCCGGGCAATACATTGGCTCGGACGATGCAACCAGCTTTGAACTCGCCCGAATTCTCGCCCATGGCAAGATAGAACCTTCGATCGCACACAGTACGAGATGGTACGAGGTGTTGAGGCACCTACTTTCGACATAAGCTCTTCCGGCCATCAACCCATATTCACGAACAAAACATCTTTCATACTGATACCTGAAGGTCTCAGAATGAAGGCATTGAAGGCTTCTGTGGTAGCCACAAGTCCCAGTCACAGTTGCTCCCCTTCCAGATCTGCGAAGACTGGCCGGAGGTCCTGTCAACAAAGACAGCATTTTGCCTGTAGAACTGAGAGAATGGAAAAGCGCTTCTTCTAGCTGTAGCTCCCCACCAAAACGTTTTGCCTTGTAGGGTTCCAGCAATTCTCCAAGAACTCGATCAAAAAGTTGGTCGATGTCAGCGCACTCTGGATAGTTTGGCTCACCTGCATCATGCTCGTGTTGAGCAAAAATATCTACAAGCAAATTTGAAGAACATGCAAGAGCTGGCCGGTTCAGCCGCTCCCTGAATCTTCGAATCTTTGATGACTGTGGACCATGATCCTTTGCAAAGAGCTTTGCACAAAAATCTCCCAACAGCCACTGGCCTGCACGGGCTGGCCACGTTGACCAATCATGGTCCTGGTTTGGCAAAGAACATGTACGGCAATGTAAGAACAAACGTGTTTGGTCCGTTTGAATCTTTTGAAGGCCGAATGGGGGAGGGATGGAGGGGCGGAGTTGATGAATCAGGGTATGCGCGGCTCTAAGACAAGGGTCATCCAACAATAAGTCGTTGTTACAACTTGTTGCAAGTTTCCCTGAAGCCAGGATTGATGTAATTGATTGACGTATTTTGAAGGAGAATAAGTCTGGACTTTGAGGTACTATCATATGTCATAAGGCAACCTGACAAGAACCACTGCCATCGCTACCAGGTTGGAGGCCATCGCTATTAGGAACAAAGAAAAAAGCAAAGGAAGAACTTTTGTTTGATGTTTTTTGTCTGTTTTCACGCTTCGAGACGTCATTCTGTGGCAGTTGTTGTGTTTTAACGGTCCACACTAGGACGCTGCTAGCTACTGGACGTGACGCAGGAAAGCTCACGCACTTTCATTTGGTTCATAGATTGTTAGGCCGCCAAATGAGCTTGGAAGCAAGCTAACAAGCAAGGACGTAGTAAGCTACTAAGAGTAGCTTCTTAGGTTTGGACCCAGGCTAGGGCTCAGGCTTAATGACTTTCAAAAGGCTTAAGCACTAACCCCTGGAACCGTACCCTGGCTCAAAAATGTAACATTACATATAAATGCCATATATATATATATGCCTTATATAATCTCTAGACATTGCATACATAATGCATGAACAGTGCGCCCGTGTGACTGAGAACCGGCTTGAATGGCCTTCACAACTGGCGCGCCCCTCAAGGCCCAACGCAAAGCAATCTTTGCATCATTGTTTACAACACTTTTGCACTGCGTATGCCCTAAGCAACATTCCAACCCCAAACCAACCCAATGTTCCACCCAAAGTCTTATATATCTAAATTCACTCGGGTTGTGGCGGGAGGAACTTGCTTCTTCAAACCACCGCCGCCATTGGTCAAATCCAGCTTGAAACCTTCACTCTAAAACAGTTGGCACTTCGGTAGGAACTCTGACTCATTCCTAGCAATCACTTTTAATGACTATTAAGCACTCAATGTCGGGGTGGGGTGCCGGGGTGGGTCACTACAATCTTTGAGACTTGGTTCCTATATACATATATATATATATGTGTGTGTGTGTGTGTTTGTTTTGTTGCTTGTTGAAGGGAAACTAATTGTGCACGCTGTATACCATGCCTCCGCTGTGCTTCCCTCCCCATGTTGTTCGTAGCTAGAAGTGCCGCACAGCCGCCGATCAAGGGCCGCGGCTTGACCTGCCTTGCAGAAGCATGACCTCGTCCGTATTCAACTACAAGTCAAGAGTCGAGGCTTATATATGTTGTTTTTGCCAATGCTGGTTGTATGGTTTGGGGCTTACTCTTAGTTTGAACTCCCACAATCTTCACATGTTCACAGATTTTCTCCCTTGGCCATTTGGTCTACGGCCCTCGCAGCTCTTGTGGAGCCAAGCTAATTCTCTGCGAATGTTCCGTGGTGTTTCTAGGAGATGCTTGCTTGTTACACCTGAATGGTGAGTTGGACGTGGCTAACTGCTGCAAGCAACGATGGGAGGTGCTGCTGTAGGGGTGCGATCTTGCGTGCTTCTCATTGTAAGCCTAGGAAATACATGATGATGGTGGCAAAAAGGAAAGCAAGTCAAGATCTGATTAGTACTGTACCAGTCCCACTATGTCCCAGTGTTCTTGTGATAACACGTCTGCCAGCCTGAAGAACAGTCTGGAAATTGGGATCCTCGCGCATCAGGCGGATGACTCTCCTTGGTAAGCGCTTCTTCAGATGCGGATCTCTCCCTCTTGAAATCTCTTGAACCTCAACACAAGTCCAACTCTGTTCGGTCCAAGAAGTTGATTGTTGGCTGACACTCGGGCACTGACCTCGCAACATCGTTCGCACCCCCCTCCTGTGCTGCAACTGTTTGCCTACCCCCAGAAACAAATTTTGTTGCAGCGTTTTCTTGTTCTAATTTCATGTACAGTAATTTTTTGAACACTGGGGCATCCCCCAAAATGCAGATAAATGCAGTGCACCCCAAATATATACAAACCAACGCCGAATAAGAATTGGAGGGTTCGGTTCTGCATACCTGGGACTCACTTCTTTCTACGCGGAGAATGGTGCCAAGTCTCCACAAAGAAGACTCGACAAAAACCAAGTCAACATTTCGACTCCAAACCCGTCATCTCCTTACCCGCTGCTGGAATCTTCGCTTTACTATCCCGGCAAGAGAACCCAAACAGTGTGTCTAAAGGTCTAAAGTCTGGAGGTGTAGAAGCAGAAGGTCTAGGGATGGAGACGTCTTGGGTTGCAAAGAGAGGTGATGGTGGTGATGGTGGTGAAGGTGGTGATGGTGGTGGTGAGGCCCAGAACCCATCAAATTCGTGGTGACCAGAAAAAATAACGCATCGTGGCCCCTTCCACCGTTGTCAGGTGGCAGGGCAGACGGAAGTGGTGGTGACGCGATGGGGTTGGGTCGTACCCACAGGACAGAATTATTGAGGCAAAAGAACGAAAAGAACACTAGAAAAATATACAAAACAGATATACCGATATAACGTATATGAACTATTTTTCATATCGTTCCTTGTACTTTTGCTTTTCTTGGAGCCTTCAAGTATCCACAGGTGATGTGATGATGGTGTTGGTGGTGATGGTGGCGATGACGGTAGTGATGGTAGTGGTGGTGTTGGTGGTGATGGTGGAAATTCACAAACCAGGCTTCTAGAGCATGCCTGAGCACACATATGAGAGCACATTTGCTGTGCCTCCCACAAAATCTTCAAATCTGCAATTTAAATTCCAGAAAGTGCTGCACCTGTCATCAAATCTGCATTTCAAGGTCCACAAGATTGCACCTGCCACGAAATCTGCACTTCAAAGTCGGCAAAACACTGCGCCTGTGCGCCTCAATCAAGGTCTACAAAGTGCTGCGCCTGCCACGAAAATATACACTGCAATGTTCACAAAACGCTGCGCCTGCCACGAAATCTGCTCTTCAAGGTCCACAAAGTACTGCGCCTGCCACGAAATCTACAGCAAGATTCACATCGCTCTACAGACAACGTGACATCAAAACGCAGCTTTCGCTCGAGACTTCCTCCGATTTGTGAAAGCGAGCCACGTGTCCAAAAGTCACAGTGCACTGCGATTGCCGCGACAACAAGGCAGGCCGAAGACCACCACCATGTCCAAAGTACTGCGCCTGCCACAAAGTCTGCACATCGACATAAAGCCGCTCCGATCTCATCCTGCACCTGTCACGAAAAGTCAGCTGTAGACATCCAAAATACAAGGTTTCTCTTGCACCTGCCACGAAATGTGATCACCAATTCCGAAAACATGTCCCCGCTCGGGCCCAGCAGATTCTGTGAGCCTGCGCAGTCGGGATGCACTTCGAAGATCTCGGAATGAATGTACCAGCAGCGAATTAGCAGGACACGCCGATGAGCACCTCCGATCAGACACCCGTCATTAACAGTTACCGTAAGAACCCCTAGTGTAAACACACGGTTTGGGGAATTATATAGACAAAAGATGACAAAAGGAAGAACCGCAAACAAAAAGACATGGTTCCTTCACGGTATCCCTTTTAAGACCATCACCACCACCACGGACCCTCCCGCTTCAAAGTTGTTTCATATCATATATACCACAGGTAACCCAAAACTACTGGTCAAAGGATTGAGGTGCTCAGGGGACTGCATTCAACGATCAAGCTTCCAGAGTTGAAATGATTCACAGGTTCTACTCTACTTTGTTGCATCTTCATTTGCATGGCAGGAACATGAACAAGCAAAGAGCAAAACCTGCACAAAATCCTGAGAACAAATAACTACTCCGACTAGCTCCACATAGTTCCTCTTCTCTTCGAGTCAAACCGAAGAAGTGATCCGGGTGCACACCCACACGCTCACTGGCTTACCCTACACTAGGGAGCAAGGGCATAGAGGGCACGTGATTAGCCATGCGTCGCCCTCTGGTCTATGGACTAATTTTCTGGGACGCCGTGCTGACGCCTAACTGGGCATAACATGATGGTCACCAATGGCATCTCAATGTGATCTGGCAACAATTTGAAAGAGGCCACGACAATCAGAATAAGAGTATATAGGAAGATTGTAGCTCAAGGTCACCTCTTTCCTAGGTGGGCCAAACAGGAATTTAGCATGATGAAGCTAAACCTGTTTCAACACCATTCGACACATGGTGTATCGCTGGTGCTATATCTGGCTTTGAGGTGAAAAAAGTACTCAAACAAATCTCGAACTCAACATCAAGCTAGCTGATGCAGGCAATGCTGTCAAAGCAGATTGCATTATTACCTGGGACTGCCCAGATCTTCAAGCATAGATAAATGTGTTCCCACTTTTACCTCACTCACTTTGTTCGCTTCCCCTGGGCGCGCTGATGCTTCTTTTTATACTATATTCCAATCGGTCCTATTAAAGCAGGAGTGCCGTATAGTGCCGTGGCCTAATGGATAAGGCGCTAGACTTAGGAAGCATCACCTTTTGAACGCTGACGACGGAATCCATCCGAACTCAACATTTGGATCTCTTCCTGGTGAAGCGGATTCGCACCTCATCAGTCCCACGAACTTCAAGTTCGGACTCGCCGAAGAGATCGCTGGCTTGGCCCTCAAGGGCTTCCCGACAAAAGGCCGTCACCTGCAAAAAGGACACAATTATACATCATTTGAAGCGACAAATGCTATGCAAAACTGCTCCGAGATCATCCATGGTCCATTACAGAATCGCTTCCGCTCACTCTTTGCCCAAAACTGTGTAAGTGTACACAATAGCATACAATGATATGGGGAGAATTCAATCTCAGTGAAACATCTAATCACATCTCTGACACGCGGTGGCCTGTACAGCTTCAGGTGCCAATTCCACTCCATGGTTCTTCCTGACCCTACTGTTCCCAATGTTCAGACCATGCCAAGGCAGAACCACGTGTCTGCAGTTGCGCAGGAGTGCTTTGAACCCAATTGCATGCAGGCCGTCTATCTGTGGGAGATTCTAAAGTCTGCAGCCCAGCTAGGTTCTCTCATCTCTGCCAAATCTGCCCGGAAGAGCGTACCCAGTTCTCGAAGGTTGGTGAAATGCGAAGCCGGTCCAAACCTCAAATGAAAGAGAACGGCTTGGACACGTGATCAAGAGGAACAAGATCCGTCAAGATCATGCTTTCCTCTAGGAGCAAAGGGAATCTCTACTAGGAGCAAGGACGCTACTAGGGGCTCCTGGCATCGCTACTAGTAGCAAGCAGCTACTAGGAGCAAGAGGACGCTACTAGCTGTTTCTCTTTATGGTGAAGCTCTCAAGCTTGGAGCAGTACTTGGAGAGTATTCCTCATCAAACGCATCACGGAAGTCTGGCTCAATCCTGGGTGAACGCTGAGTCTGTTGTGGGTGGCCCATGTTGGCTGGGTAGGCTTAAAGCCAAACTTGAGGCGTTCAAGGATGGGTGTGATATACTCGGGTCTTGGGTCCAAAAGCTGCCAGACAACTGATGGCTGAAGCAAAAACAGATCCTACTAGCTGCTAGCAGGCTAGCTTTTGTGATGAGCCCGGTGACATCTTGTCATGGTTGCAAAGCCAAGAGACTTGATGAAGGGCAGTATGTTTTCAATGACAGAGTTGCGCACTTTGTCCTGCAAAGGACTTGTCTGAGCTCAATTCTGCTTCAATGCTTTGCATGTATATCATATATTATATATAATTGCAAGACAACGGCTCTGCAGAACTTAAATGCTTTGCGCTGCAGAATGAGATGAACAAGAACCCTGCCAACTCGGTGAAAAGTCTCTTGTCTCCCAAAGTTGCGGTAAAACATCTCATTTTTGTTGTCGCCTGAATGTTGAGATGTTTTGCCAGAATGTCCACGACTGTCTGCCTAGACGTCACCTGAGGCCATTTCGCATTAGGCCGAGGCTTGGCATGGTTTTGTGCAGTGTCACTTGAGTCACTTGTTTGTTTCACACCACTAAGGTTCTAAATCCTGGCAACTCTTCAAACGCCTGATGAAGACTAGCAGGAAAAAAGGTTATGCTGTCATCCTTACATCTCAGCAAGGACGCAACGGGTAGTGGAAGGTAGTGGGAGGCCATCGATAGTAGGTTGGAGGCCATCGCTATTGGGTTGGAGGCCATTGCTATTGATTAGGTTGGAGGCCATTGCTATCAGGTTCCTTGTGCTAATAGGTTCCATTGCTATCAGAGTCGGCAAGGTGCAAACACCTGCCAAAATCCAGTGCGAGCGGCGGGTAATATGGCCGGGCCAGGTATCAGCTGCTATGGAACTTAAGACGCACGGTTCCACCCAGAATCCATTGTAGCGAAATCACCTGTTCAGATTATAGCAGATAGCAGATAGAACCCGTACAAAGTGGCCCTTGGGCATCGCTACTAGTTGCTTCATGCTACTAGTAGTATGGCCAGGAGCTACTAGAAGCTTCTTGCTCCTAGTAACCTAGCAGCGATGCCCTGTGTTACTAGTAGCGATGCCCTTGGCCATGAATTCGACATTCCTTGGGCTCCAGCAGGATTGGCCAAGGTTTTCATGAAGAGCTTGGCCTTTCGTGGTCCAAGCCTGAGGAACCATGTGTGTGTGTGTGCTGCATGCTGTGTATATATATATATAACGAGATATAACGAGTAGCTAAATATGCAAGTAACTTAAAACCTTTTTTAGCACGCTCCTACTTAATTAAGGGAGAAGTTCGCTTCTAGTAACTGGCCGCAGGATAGCTCGGGCTTCCACTATATATATAATGATTTGCTTCCTAACCTAGAATTTTAGGGAAACTTCTTTAATAACTTGTGATTAATGTGCTAGCAGTCTGGAAGCAACGGGAATCCAGCATCCCTCACTCCCATTGTAGAGCTCGCTATCTCCAGTACATTATGTATTGACTTTCCAACTTACAAAACTCACAGGTCTTGCTCTCTGCACACAGTTGAGCTCCTCGCCCAGGGAGAAACTGGATCAAGCTTTGCAAATGCAGAGATCTACGAACCTTCACGCGGCAGTCAAACCTTTTCAAATCTGAGCCCAGGTTTCTCTTGTACACAATAGGTGTGCAAACTCTTGAGACGTAAGAGTTGAATGTTGCTAACCCATTCTACCCCACCGATCTCAAGTGGGTCTTGAAACCAGCATTAGTATTGCTGGATATGTGTGGGTCCACGTGAACAAACTAGCCGACTAGCCACTTCCCGATCCAGTAATGCAGCCCCTAGTTCACCAGTTCAGCACATACCACATAGGATTCAGGGACAAGATCGATGCAAGACGCAACAGCTCGCAGTATCTTGCCTTATTGATTTGCAATCCACACTTGCTGAGGACTTCCTGCAAAGTTCGGGTGATAGCCCGGCCCATCATCTCCTCCAGCAACTGTCTGCGGGCAAATGCAGCGTGGCCAAGTGCAAGACCGCCAACAACAAGCAACTTCTACCTGCAAAAAATCATCAGCGGCTTACAAAGGTTTGTCTCCTTGGGAACATCTGCTTGCAAAGGGTGCAAGGCTAACTTAAGGATGCCTTGGCTGCAAAGCACATGCAGAAGGTGGTATTGAACTCCGGCTGCGGCTCAGATCTTTTGCGAAGCCCAAACGCGGAAAGCAAAGAATCCGTTTTGCATTTAATTTCTGAATCTTCCCGCTCAATTTCTGGTTGTGGAATGCACAAAGCCTCGTTCGCTCGCATTACTCATGTGCCAGGCGGCCGTTTGCATCAGGAAGCTCGTGCCAAAGCTGGCAAGTTTCAGCGAGAGCATCCTGATGCAAAGACTACAATACAACAAAGCATGCTCAAGCTTCAGTGCCTTCTGTCAACTCTCCTGGTGGTACCGTGCACAGCTGATGGCCATGCGGTGCGAAGGAATGGTGTAGTCGCGGTAGGCAGCTGGGCGACGCTGCTAGATGCAAAAGGCTAAGTTGGGGGGCAATATGATTCAAAGCATTCCAGAATGATCTTACACTCCAAATATGTCTTCAGGCAGAGAGGACAGCCATGAGTATGTCATTTTTGTTCAGTGTCTGACGAGTCAGGAACGTCTCTTTAAAAGCACAGCGCAGCTCAGGCCGAAGCGTGATTCCATCACACGTTTGTTGTACGCGACAGCTCGAGGCCTAAGATGCCATTGTCAAGGAAACCTTCCAGTTTGCAAATCTTTGCATTCTGCTTGGTTCACTGTGCTGCATGACCGATGCATGTTTTGGGCCAAGAGCAAATACTAACACACCAGTTTCAGGTGAACACGCTTCTTGTGAATGAACTGAAGATTCCAACCTTCTGTAGTCTGCAGGTCAATCCTGCTATACATTTAAACAGCAGCACACCCATTGTCACAGGCTCATTGTCCTTGATAAGTACAGGAGGAGAGCAGAAGAGCATAGATTTGCTTGAACGACATAGAAAAAAGTAGAACGACAGCTTATGCTTATGGTAAAATCAAGTATAACTAGTCAGAGCGATGCAGCACAGAAGAGGGTCGGTTAAGTTCCGTCAAAGGAATTAAACTATACGTCACGCATAAGTATATGTAGCTACAGCAAACATTCCGTAAAGGAAGTTGAAAGTGTGAAAAGGCTTCAATGTGATTGTTTCCGCCAGGAGCATTTTGACAAACATAAAAACACAAAACACATAATGGGATGTGCTTTAGACTAAGGCTGGAATGCACAGCCACAGTGAAACCGAACTAGCTAAGCGATACTATGAGATACAGCAAATGGGTATATAGTATTTCTACGTCTCGACTCCTGACTCTTGTTCCAAAGTTAAAACTTAATATCAACATTATCCCAAGTGCATGCATCTGTTATGCATCGCTGGTGCACCAGCTTGGGATTGTTGCTGATTGGATAAACAAATTCTATCCTGTCATTCGATGTTGCTTGCCTGGATTTGATCATGGAGGAGGGCTGTACAAAGGCTATCATAACAGGACCAAAGTGAAGCTAATGATGTGCTTTGACGCTATTGCAAAAGGCTATACACTCACTAAGGTTATCGCACTGTCGTGTCCACATAATGGATCCTGGGCAGCACTTTGAAATGAACCTCGGTCCAAACAGACTTATGCAGGAACATCAAGAAGCAAGAGATATGTCCAGGGATTCTACAGCTCAGAACAGGTCTAAAAAATCGCTGTTCATCCTTATAACAGCTAAGGACTTGGAGCCCATTGAGATCTCGACCAGCAGATCTTGATCTCTGTACAGCAGGTCTTCGAGGTCGTTCTGGCAGGAAAGCACACGCAGCGCTGGCAAGCAGTGACACCGGCGGCGGCACCTTCATCTTCAGTATGTTGGAATCACTAATGGCGAGTAGCACCTGTGAAAGGCCGTCATGAAAAGCTGTCACTATGAGAATCGCTGGTACTCAACAGGTAGTTGAGCAGGTACTCAACAGAACGTCTGCAGGCGTCTGGTGATTTTTTGAAATAAATGTGCAAACACAGTATAGAGAGTGAGTGAGAGTCTGAGCCAAAGAATCGAAATATTTTCTGATTCTATCACATAAACACTGATAATTCAAGAATGTATATAATGTATACTAGTACTCACCTCATGTGCTCTTTACAACTAGTAGGGTCCCGACCACTGCAGGTTTGTAGGTCGCGAAGAGTTGTCTCAATGACTCCTCAGTCTGCAAACTTGTCTGCGAATCTCAAGGTTTTGTGATACAACAACAGTGACTGAAATGATCCCAGTACCTTTACCACCCTGCGAGGTCACAGCAATTGAGCACTGGTGCCACAGATGTGAATGCGTGTTCTGAATCTGAATGATGCAATCGTGAAACAGATTCAGCACAGCAAAACGCAAAATAGCACCACATACAGTAATCACATGTGTTCTACAGTATGTCATCCCATTTCGCTCCAACTGCCCTCCTCCACGACACCAACAATGGTTTTTAAAAAGGACATGCCGCTTGTCTGAGAGATGATATGAGATGATCCACTTTCCTACCTAGCGCTGTCAGCTGAGAGCTCAACCCTGTGCTCTGCAATCTTGACGTCAACTTCATCGTTGTAGCCTTATCTTACCGCTCTTTGCTCAGCGAAAAAAGAACACCACAACTCAACAAAGAGTTGTTTGAACTCGCACTCGATGCCTAGTGTTTGGCCTTCCTTGCTACTCTAAGCACCAGGAGATTCATGTTGCCAGTCATTCTTCAGCCAATGAAAGAGCTGACTAGTGCACGTTTCTTTCGTGTGAGAAATGACCCGTGTTCAGAAGATAAATTTGCTGTGATTTTGAGGCAACTGCTTCCTTTTTCGACCGGGTTTAGTCTTGCTCGCGGCAGGTGCAAGCAACCTGCCACGATGGCAAACTCTGTGCCAATGCCCTCCCGTGACATGAAAGCACTTGGCTGAAAAGCACATTTGGTCCAAAGCTGCTTGGGAAATGCGTAACAGAAGCCAGTTTCTAAATAATGTACCAAAGCTGACAAGTTTGGGCTTGGAGGTGCTCTGTGTTTTGTGGCAAGGATAGGTATATGAACGCCAGGGATACATTCATGTACCGAAGCACTCCAGTTGCAAACTCCTACTTCCAGTCATGCACCAAATGTTCATGTTCGGTGCCATTAGTGAAGTGCAACAACAAAATAATTACAAGCACTATACATGTCAACAACCTATGAGACTGAATGCTTACAATGTCACGGCTTGTCTATCAACTGTAGAATGTCATTCAACGATTTCCTTTGTGGAAACACCAATGAAGCGCACACCACGTAGAACGCATTCCTTGCGTAGGCAACCTGATCATTTAAACCAAAATGGTGTATATAATATATCTAATTAATTGTCCTTTCAGGAAGAAATACTGTCACCGCACAAACGCTAATAAACTTGTTGTTTGCCGGTCATCCCCTTTACGACATTGCAGTGTAGCATGTTTGAAGGAAATGTCCTGCTCTTCCAACATCTTCTTTTCAATAGTCTGAAGCAAGCTGAGTAAAACAATACTGAATTTCAAATTTGCCTCAGTAACTGCAAAGGTGTGGCTGTCGAACGAAGAGAGTGTTTAGCGAAAAGGATAAGTACAGTGAGAACCGAGAGCGTGTTGCATCAAGAACTCATGAAACTCCCAGGGCTTGCAATACACATGTCCGCATCAAAGCATCAACACTGTCTGGTCGCAAGACACGGCACGTGCTTGCATCGAATACCAGTTACAAAACAGTGACCATTGATTCTAGAAATCACTCCAAGAGTGTGTATCCCCTTGAATGCTCGTAACTTCCAGGGGCTGTATCGTGCTTGCTTTGATTATATATGTATTTTTCTGCTGTGACCTGTAACAGCAAATTTCTGGACGGAGTCATACCTCCAGTTCAAACAAAGTTATTTGCCAGAAGAGCACATCATTTGCAAACAAACGAAACTGCTACCAACAGCTTTTCACAGGTCCTTTCTCAAGTATAGCTTGTATGGATTCATGATGTCTTCATAGTTCTTCTACAAGCACACTGCCTTGGAGATAGAATGTTTTGATGCATGGCATGAGTTCCTTAGCCTTAGCTTTGCTGTTGTAAATGTGTCGCACCTTAACCTGAACCCAAAGGTGCCAGCGCTCTATAATGTCAGGCAGATGCGTCGCTTTGGGGAAAGTAGGATACATTCATGAAGCTACAGGATCGGGGACAAACAAATTGAAAGACCCTTACCGGCCCTTACCCTTTTAGCAAGCATAGACTATAGAAATGATGTAAGGTCCTGGCAGCAAAAACCTATCCATTCTTGCCAAATAGACAAAATCGGCACCTGTAGTGATGCAAGTGATGTGCCCGAGCATGTATCGTCGATGAAACTGCAAATACTGTGCGACAAAACTATTTGTGGGTAAAGTTTGCAATGCAGCAAGACATGCATTTGTGTATGGTGTGCATGCCCAAGTTTGCAGTGCGTTGAGTAGTTGCAGCAAAGCAAGCTACAGTATTTGCAATGTGGTGTGTTAATCAGCTCCTATCACCTCCTCCATCCCGCCTATGTACTGCCTGATTGGCCTAATTACACAAAATGCATGTCTGTATATATATGTATACCATGCAGATTGCATGTCTGTCTAGCTACTGTATATCAGTCGACGACTGTTGAAGATGCATTCCGTGTGTAAGCAAACAGTGGCGGTGGAACGTTTGAAGACGGACCTCATGTCAACTGGCTCGCCTGGGTCCAAGGCTGGAAGAATTGTGCAAGAAACAACGGTCCACTTTGGTGCAGTCAGGAAACCAAATGCATTGACAAAGCCGACGACGCATGTCTCACTTGTGGCCTGCCAATTCAGCCCCAAAGTGATACGAAAACATATTTATTGCACTCCATATAAATCTTGCACTCCATATAAGACGCTCTACTGTGCCAGCGGGCTAGAGCAGTGTTCCGGGACGTTGACATGGATCTTCTTTTTAAGTTGCAGATCGAACAATCCAGTAATCACAAATGACAAAAATCTACCCCGGGTAAAAACAAAAAGGTGTCTTTCATCCACGCGCTTCATGTTTTTGAGAAGTTAGTTTGTCCGTTGCCTCTGGAAGGATCACCACAATAGATACCAGCCCCTTCTTCCTTGCTGCTCGCTCTGAGAGCCAGTTCCGATCCTGCGGTCCAGACTCCAGGGCACAGCGGGCGCCACAATTGACAATCATAGCAGTCCCTGATGAAACAAAAAGAAACAATATTACATATGTTGTTACTATTTCAAGAAACGTTTGGAAAGAATATATAAACAAACAATTATCATAGGGGGAGGCCTCGGGGGACTCGCTGTCACAGCCCCCATGGAATTATTGATTATATAAATATCCTAACCACTGCCCACATAGATTCTGAAATTTAAATGTATTCCAATATGTCAATCACCTTGCAGAATAATTTGCAGACACAAACCCCTCAACACGTTAAAAATCAAGCCACAAACTTTTCTCCACCCCATCGCACACCGGTAAACAGTGTGAGACCCCGCCAAATTCAATCAGGCCACATGTCCTCAGGGCACCTGTTGGATTGTCAGAAATCCACTGCTTCAGCAAGTTGCTGGAAGTACGCTCCACAGAACATACAGAACCCAAAAACAACAAAGTACGCTCCACAAAAAAAAAGAACATTAAGAAAAGTGAATTCATATGAATTCCTCGTGTGGTGAGTTGAAATCCACTGGGTGGTGATCATTTGTTTCCTCTGTGGTATGTCCTGTGATCTGTATGTTGTCTGTTCTTCTTTGATCTTCTGTGTAGACCTTCTGGCTTTGCAGGGACAAAAAAAAGAGCGGCATTGAGTATTGATGTCATGACGTGCAGACACGGCCAGGCCAGATCAGCCGGATAGGGGGGGCAGGTTGCAAAATTATTCCAAAAATTATTCGGAAATTGAGGGTCGTACCTTGGACCACTACCTTGCTTAGAGATTATATATTCCATTGAAATTATTCCAAAGACATATTCCAGAGGTGACATGACCCCTGGAATAATCTTTCAAGCCACCCCCTATCAATTATCATATTGTATATATAGTATTGTACATTCATGAATATGAATACTGGATGCATGTCCTTGTTTCACATGTTTGAACCGAATTGCAATGGCACAATGTTGTTCGGTTTCCGTTTCGGACTTAGAGCTGCCCAGACTTGTCCTCTCGCTTCCGACTGAGGTCTGCGTCATCGTCCTTTCCAGCATCGTAAGTTGTAAACCGATGCGAAAGCCCAACAATTTCCTATCACTACCCAATAATTTCGACTGTTCAGCAAGGATCTTGGAGGGGTTTGGCGGAAGTTGCGTTGATCTTTTCCACTCACGTACCTGCCGCATCTGCTTGATCTTGTCTTCCGCTTCATCCAAACTTAAGTCGGTCTCCGCAATGGGCCGCACATCTGTCATAAGTGTCAGCCTCAATGCGGTGCATCACTTTTCCAACTGCTTAAGTTGTGTTTCAGTTCCAAAATTAATCTGCAAGTTTGCGGCAAGTTTGTTGTACTATGTTGTACTATATACTTTCACTTGAAACTGTCGTCTTAAGTCTCCCAACCTGGCAGGAAGATGAAAAAAGATGAATGAAGGCTAAACGGAGGGTGTGTGGAGAAAGGGGGTCAGCAAAAATCGCTTATACAAAGTTAGTGCATCAAAAATACCTTCCACGAAGTTCTGCGAAGGTTTCTGGGATTTCGTTGCAGTCAGTTCTCCTACTGGCCCACCATTCCACGAACTGTCCACGAACAGCCTTGGGTTCTACGAAGGTCACGCGCCTTCCACGACGTTAGTAGAATAGGTTTTTGCAAAACCCTTTCTGTGCACTACCCTTCCGTTTGCCTTTGAATGAAGAAGGTGGTGCGTAGAACAGCAAAATGTAAGCGAGGAGAATGGTCAACAGAAGTGAAAGTGGTAAAGCGAGAGAAAGAAACGACACTCAGCGTGCAGTGCATCGAGATGCATGGAGAATCGTTTTTTTGTCTTTTTCCCCACATGCTGAAGCTGCTACTGTGGGTTCGCGCTACCGCCGCGGCTCCGCTCCTTCCCGCCGTGTGTAACGGGTCTGCTGTTTTGCCGCACTGGGTTGGTCGCGAGGCATCGCTACTAGGAGCGAGAAGCCGCTAGTAACCTAGTAACTCCTGGCCTTACTACTAGGAGCAAGGACGCTACTAGTAACTCCTGGCCTTACTACCACAGTAACAAGAAACTACAAAGGGCATCCATTTTGTTTGGTTCGAACTTTGAATCACCCTTGCGCGGGGGCGCAGTCGCGCCAGAGAAAAAGGCAATCCAATCTCCGCGAGTGATACGACCTCTTCGTTATTAGTAGTGAAGCTGCCAAGGTCAAAGCATCCCAGAATGTAGATTACCCTTGCAGCACGCACTAAAGGCATAGCGTTTTACAGTATATGAAATAGCATGAAGTATCATGAAATGAAAATACTCCACCACCTCCTGCCACACATGTCGCTCCAGTGCAGTTTGCATTCCCCGCCCGCACTACTTGCACCAGTGACTCGCCAACGTCTACCGCAAAAACACAACCTGCCACGAAGACTAGCAGGACCAAGTTCAATCCGCCAAAGATGTCGCGGATGCTAGTGTTTTCTTCATCGTCGGGCAGCAGCACCAAATCAGGAAACACTGAAACATACAAGTTAGTTAACGCATCTGCAGCGGGCGGCGAAGTAACGCGTCGGCCACGCTGAGTTCAAGGAGCATCAAGTTGGTGTTTGCAGCTAGTGGCAGCTCACACACACACTCTGACACTCTGACACTTGTATTCAGTGAACTCAGTTCCCGCGTTGAGAAGGAAGGTGAAGGAACGGCAAGGTGCATGAGTCCGCAAAAACCGTATTGTTGAACAATGTTGGCAGCTGCACTCAAAAACGATCTGACACGCAAAGTCCGCTGCAAAGCGGCGCAAGGTGGCGGTGGGTTTGTGGGAGGTATCATGAAGAACTATGAAACAAACCGTGGAAGAGTGGAGTAACAGCTTTTGGAAAACTTCGCAGGTACATGGTTGAGCGTCCTCAACCACTTCCCTTCCAGCGACCCAGCTTCGTTGGATCAGGTTAGTCGCTGGAAGCCTGATCCCCCTGCATGTGACTCGCGGGTGGAAAAGGTGATCGGTGGATCAGTTGGACGCCCCTGCATGTGAATCACAGGTGGAAAAGGTGATCGGTGGATCAGTTGGACGAAACCCTTTGTCCAGGGGTGGACACACACAGGTCGCCGTCTTCGGCGCTTTTTCAAAAAACGGTGGCAAGCGTGATGGTTGTGTCCTTTTTGGACATAGAGCCTCACTAGCTCGGCAGCAGCAGCTTCAGCGCTGGAGGGTGGAAATGTGTATTTTCGAATGGTGTGGAGTCTTGATTGGAGGGCTGACAGAGCCAAGCGCTGGCTCCCGGCGGTGGTGGAATCCCTGATTTTCCAGGGTTGGGAAGGTTGCATGTAGGTGATGGTGCGTTGTGGGAGGTCGATGTTGAAACCCAGGAGATGGAAGTCCTCCACCGGTTCGAGTTCCACTGGGTCGTCAAAGAAGTTGTGGTGGATGAGGGTTTGAATGTCTGGATGGTGGAGGAAATGTTCGTTGTGGACAATGAAACGGTTGTCGACATATCGATAGTAAGTGAAGTGTAGGTCTGTGTGTTGAAGTAGGTTGTTGTGGATCTGATGCCAGGAATGTTCTATGAGGGTGATGGCGACATTGCAGAGGGCTGGAGAGAGCTGGGATCCAATCCCAGCTCCTCTGATTTGCTTGTAGGTGTTGTTGCAAGCCCGGAAAATGCATGTGTTGAGGGCAAAGGCCACGATGGTGGTGATATCAGATGTCTGGATGGTGCGTTGTGTAGGGTGTTTTCGATGGTGTCTGCCAATGTGGGAGTGGTGAAAGGGGTTGCCAGTAGCCTGGACATCCACCGTCAGGGTGTGTGTGGATTGCTGTTGTTGCCAGTGGTGAATGAGAGAGTGGACTGCATCGATGAGTCGGTGTTGTGGGACCGAGTTAAAGAAGCCGACCAGGTCATCGTTGGTGGCGTGCAATGAGATGTCTGGTGGGGTTTGGGTAATGTAGCTGTGGAAATGGCGCCAAAGTTGGGGAATAGACATTTGGCCGGGATGTTGGGGGTAAAGGTGTTGAAGGATAATGTCAAGGGCACGGCTGGTGATGCGGAGTAGATTGCCACTGAGGGACTGGAAGTATGAGATGATGGTGCGGCCTTTCTGCCATTGCTTCTTTTCTTTGAGGTGGACGACGCCGTAGGGAATGTTGAAATCTTTGCGGAAGCCCCATTTGTAGCGGGTGCGCAAAATGGGGGGAACAGTGGCTGCCAGGTGGTCGTGGATGTTGGCGGCAGTGAGGTGGGGAAGTGGTTCGAAGAGCTTCTGGCGGTGGTGGTGGGCTGTGCTTGTAGGTCGATGGCGGTGGAGTGACTGGGTCGGCTGTGGGGAGTGGTGGTGGTGGTGGAGGTGGGAACTCTGGCTGTGACGGTGGTGCCTGTTGTGGCGGTGTGTGCTGCGGTGGCGGTGTGTAAGGTGATGTCGTGTATGGATGAGAGTGGTGGGCTTGATGCGTGCGGAGTGCATGAGTGAGTGGGCCATAAGTTCCGGTAGGGTCGTAGGTGTGGTGAGTTGCAGTGGGAGGTGAAACCGTTGTGTCTGGGTTGGCAAGCTGCTGATGATGCTGCTGTTGTAGCAAGTAATGATTCCAGTAATATTGTTGCCACTGCGCGTCCATGGTGGCTGGTCGAAGTGTCACTGGATCGTTGAGGCGAAGATCACGGGTTGTTGGTTTGAGCAAGCTGAAGGGCGCGGGAAGAAAAGGTCAAGAAAAGGTGTCAATCAGTGCATAGTGGCCTCCAAATGGCAGTGTCAAACAGTCATGAAACTGTCAGACATAGTTAGAGGACCAATACTGAAAGGAGTTGTGTCACGCAAAGGCAATGTGAGAATGTCGCTGAAAAAGTTAACAAAAACTGGCTGGGTCCAAGTATAATCAAAGTTGATGAGCAAAAAGGCAGCTGAAGGCACAAACTGGTTTTTTCGTTGTGCAGGGTGAAACTGGTGGTCTCTCTCCGAGGTCTCAGGGGGAAAACTAGCTTCCGAAGATGATGGTCGACGTAAAAACCAGGCTGAAACAAAACCAGAAAAAGAACCCGCGGTGTCAGGGATGGTTCTTGGCATGTAAATCATCAACGGATAAAGCACTGTGGGTAGCTCAGAGTCAGCGGCCGCATGGTCAGTGATTGTCCGCGCACCAGGGATCAGTGCGAGGATCGTACTCTTGCTGAGACTGAGGCAGGGGGCGCCCCTGCATGTCAACCCGTGTGGTAGGAGGGTGGAGCATGACAACTGGGGAGGGTGGAGCCAAAGCTGCAGAGCTTACCTGTGTTGGGATGGGGGGAGGTTGCTGTTGTGTGGGGACTTGGTAATGTGCTGGCCAGGGATGCGTAGGTGGGGCTGAAGTCTGTGGCGGTGCCTCTGATGGGGTCGGAGTGTATGATCCTCCTTGGAAACATGGCCAGCCGGTGGCCGGAGGGACGGGCTGCAATGGTTCAGTGGTGGCGGGAGGTTGTTGGGCTTGATAAAGTGATGGCGGAGGTCGTTTTGGCAGAGGGTGGACTGTAGCATGGTATTGCTGTGAAGCTGGGGTTGGTGCCGTGCGATGTGGAGTTGGGGAGCCGGTGCGTGGGTCCGGCTGCCGAGTGCGGTTGGGGGTGGTTGTGCGTGGAGGTGTCTTGGAGCGGCGGTTGCGAGGTGTGCCCCCGATGGGGGAAGGAAATGTCGGTGGTGTGTACGGTTGTTCCGGAAGGGTAACTGTGGGAGTGGGAATGAGGTTGACATACTGCCATCGATCGTGAGGTTGCTTGTTGGCAGCTGATGTGGGGTTGATTGGCTTCAGGTGTTGGCATGATGCCGGCAAAAGATGGAAGCTGAACGATGGCATGGATGTCCGTCTGAATGTGGCGGTGGTGTGTGTGTGGTCGAGGGATGGTCTGCTGTGATTCGTGGAGTAGTAGAGGTTGAAGTGGGTTGGCCATGATGGAAACTGAAGGTGGGAAGGTTTGGGTGGCGGCATCTTGCACAGTGGTAGGCCTAGCAGCGGCAGTGGGGATTGGATAGAATCGGAGAGGCGAAATAGAACTGGGTAGAGGATCAGCTTGTGTGTGTGGATGTGGGGAAGTTTGTGTGCCGAGGTTGGGATCCGTGAAGTAGGCCGCTGGTGGAAAGCGGGCTAATGCGTCAATGGCATTGAGAGCCAGGCGTGTGTGGTTTTGCGCTCGTTGCACATTGTTGTGGTAAATGGCAATAAGACGCTGGACAGGAGGTGGAAGAGTGTCAGTGAGGGGTTGGTGGCCGATGGGAGTTTCGGCAAGTGCGGTGTGACTGTCCAGGTGTTGGTGAAGGACGAATCGGTGC